TCTCTTTCCCAGATGCTCTCTTTTCTAGCTCTTTTCTCTCTTTTCTAGCTCTTTTCTCTCTCTTTCCTAGCTCTTTTCTCTCTCTTTCCTAGCTCTCTCTTTCCCAGCTCTTTCTCTTTGCCAGGTCTCCCAGCTCTCTTTCCCAGGCCTTTCCCCACCGCGTGAAGGACCAAGATGGCCTGGTGCCAGCCAGAACGATGAATAAACCTACTCGTTACCTGAAAAAAAAAAAAAAAAAACAACTCCCTGGAACAACAATTTAAAGATAATTTAAAATAATGCAAAAAATCACCGTTCTCAGTTTTCTTCATTTCTTTTTGCATTTCAGTGTTGTGACATGAGATTCTTTGCATTCTACTTGAAGAATTACCTTAGGTTTTCATGAAGCCTGTTCTACTTGAGACAAGTTCCCTCTGCTTTTGTCTGAATACATCTTGTTTTTCACTTAGTTTTGAAGGACATATTCATTAGGTATAGAATTCAACACAAGCAGTGATTTTCTTGCAGTGTTTCAAATTTTTCTTATTGTCTTTTGGTTATGCCACTTTTGGTTGAGAACTCAGTGCTTATATTTAATTGCTACTACATTGAGGTAATTTTTTTTGGACCTAAAATATTTTTTTAAAGCATAATTTATTTTTATTTTTTTATTTTTATTTTTATTTTTTGGGTCCAGTCATGGGGCCTGAACTCTGAGCCTGGGCACTGTCCCTCAGCTCTTCAGCTCAAGGCTAGCGCTCTACCACTTGAGCCACAGTGCCACTTCCAGCTTTTTTTTTCCTTTTTGCTTATGTGGTGCTGAGGAATTGAACTCAGGGCCTCATGCATACAAGGCAAGCGCTCTACCACTGAGCTACCTTCCCAGCCCCCTAAAGTATTTTTATCATTGTTTTTTGACTTTCTAAAGATTTAATATGAGATGTCTTGAAATGGTTTTTATTCTATTGAGAATCAAGAGAACTTCGTGAAGCTAATCAGTTTTGGAAAACTCTCATGGACTTTTGGAATATTTTGCTCTTTCTCTATTTCTCTCTCCCATTCTTCTTTCTCTTTTTATTCCTTCACCCATTCTTTTTTTTTTTCTTGCCAGTCCTGGGACTTGAACTCAGGGTCTGAGCACTGTCCCTGAGCTTCTTTTGCTCAAGACTAGCACTCTACCACTTGACCCACAGTGCCACTTCTGGCTTTTTCTGTGTATGTGGTACTGAGGAATCGAACCCAGCACTTCATGCAAGCTAGTCAAGCACTCTACCACTAAGCCACATTCCTGGCCCTGACCCATCCATCCTTCTTGTCTTTTCCCCCTCTCTATTATCTTTTTCTAACATATTAGAACAGCTAACCATGTCTCAAATAAAACTGTATACACATATTCAAATAAATTTATATTTATATATTATGTATATATTTGATAGTATATTTGTATATGTGTGTGTATATATATATATATGTATATATGTATGTATGTATATTGCATGTGTTTACCAAGGCAATAGATCCCTTTGAGACTCTGGTGAAAAACTATGCCTCACAAAAAATGAAAATATGCATAAGTACACATTTTACATTCATTCATCAGAATTCTTGGGATGTCTATGTCCAAATAAATAACACAAAAATACAACTATGTGAACTAATTACCTTTGCACTGAGGTGGGGGGCTACTCCATTCTCCATGGTCGTCATCTTTTATATCACAATAAAGGGAGCTATTTCCAACCAGGGTGAAGCCTTTAGTGCATTCATAGCTTACAGTCTGAGAATATGTGTAAGTGTTACTCTCCCCTCGCATTATTCCATTCTTAACCACTGGTGGGTCTGGACAATAAATTTCTTAAAAAGAAAGACAACATCTTTTAATTCAGTAAAACCGGTATTGTATATTTACAAATAAGGACTAAAACATATTCAAGCTCAGCATTTATCACAAAGGGATGCTTAGAAATAGCTATTAAGCAACGGACAGCATTTTTGGAGGTTTGAAGGCCAAGATAATGGAACACAGGTGCTAAATGGAGACGGATTAACAGAAATAATAAGATTTAAAATACGGAAATTCAAAAATCACAGTAAGGTACACATGTGACACATGCCAAACTGATGTGAAGAAAAGTAACGCTGCTGAATTTTAGAGGTTAAAACAAGAAGTTGAGGATGATGTCAGGGGGATGATGGAACTTGAATTTAAGCCTAGGATGTATTCTGCATTCCACACAGGCTAGGACAGGGAGAAATTGCTCCTCAACACATGGAACAAACAAGAAGAGGAATTGGGAATTCCAGGGGCATGCTTGAGAAATAAGGGTAGAGCCCAAGATATTTTCACCTCCATGGTAAAGTTTCTTTTTCTTAGCACGTATTAACTCACAAAGATTTTTATTTAAGATAAATCAGCCTAGCCCTGGTGACTCACACCTGTAATCCTAGCTACTCAGGAGGCTGAGATCTAAGAATCACAGTTCAAGCCAGCCTGAGCAAGAAAGTCTGTGAGACTCTTATCTCCAATAAACCACTCAGAAAACTGGAAGTGGCACTGTGGCTCAAGTGATAGAGCACTAGCCTTGAGCTGAAGAGCTGAGGGACAGGGTCCGGGCCCAGAGTTTGAGCCTCGTAACCAACAAAAAAAAAAAAAAAAAAGATAAACCATACTAAGGATTTGAGTTTTTTATTTGTTTGTTTTGTCAGTTGTGGGGTTTGTACTCTGGGCCTGGGCGCTGTCCCTCAGCTCTTCAGCTCAAGGGAAGCACTCTACCACTTGAGCCACAGCACCACTTCCGTAGTTGAGTTTTTTAAAAACAAATACAAGCAGAGTTACAGCCTCTTCCAGCAACTATTCTAATAAAAAAATGAGTAGGTTCACATTCTTCAAAGCCCTGAAGCTTTGAAAAGCAGGAAAGGAATATAATTACATGTGTGCCTCAAATTCAATGATATCAAATGAACTGGAGGACCAATGCAGTATTTCCAAATTTCTAAAGTAATTTTAGGCTATTGATCAATCCAAGAACTAGCTACTTGGATTGACACTAAATTCAGGTGTATAGAGACTATTCAAATCCACCTATTGGTGGATTTATTTGTTTGTTTATTTTTGTTGGACCTAGGGCTTGAACTCAGGTGCTGTACCTGAGCTTTTTTGCTCAAGGTTAGTGCTCTACCACTTTAAACTGCAGTGCCACTTCTGGTTTTCTGGTGGTTAACTGGAGATATGAGTCTCACAGACTTTCCTGCCCAGGCTGGCTTTGTACTGCAATCCTCAGATGAGCCACCAATGACTCATCCATTGGTTTTGTCCAAACATTTTAGAGCACTGCATACATACTAGGCATTTTCTATAGATAGATGTCCAAAAGTGAGGCAAGTACAGTTCCTGTACCATAAGAACTAGTGCAAAATGGGAGGATTATCACAGATAACAGTGCAAGTGGTATGGAAAAGAGAGAGAGGAAGGATATTAACCAGGTTGGACAATCTTCCTAAAGAACAAGGAGAATCAACTCGTTGAAGAGAATATAGCAATCCAGAGAAGGAACTAAAAGACATTCCTGGTGGGACACACACATAAGGAATAGTGGAAGCACAAGGTATATGAAAAACAACACAGCCCGCATGGCTAGGAATTGATTGTAAAAGTGAGACACAAACATGGAAATGTAGACAGGGCCTGGCCAGCCTCAAATGCTACACTAGAGAGTGTGGACTTTGTATGTGACAGGGAATACTGATGTCTAAGCTATACTAAGCTTTAAGAAGGAAAAGAGGGCCAAGCACTGGCTCACTTGTAATACTAGCTCCTGAGGAGGCTGAGATCTGAGGATCCTGATTCAAAGCTAGCCTGAGCAGAAAAGTCCTTGAGACTCTCATCTCCAATTAAGCAGCAAGAAGCCAGAACTGAAGGTGAGGCTCAAGTGGTAAAGTACCAGTCTTGAGTGGAAAAAGCCAAGTAAGAGTATGAAGTTCTGAGTTCAAGGCCCAGTACCAGCAACACAACTCAAAAAAGCGAGGGTACTACAAATATACATGTGAAAATTCTAAACAAGCAAAAAATCCTTTACCATTAATGGTTTAGGCCCAGACTTTTATAGAAGACTTACCTACACATTCTGGCAATGGATCACTCCAGCCAACAGTGTTATCTGTAAGAACACAGTAACTAGAAGTGGCACCAACTAATTTAAACCTAGAACAAAAAGGGGGGATAAATCAGTTTAAGGCTAGGAATGTGGTTTAGTGGTACAATGCCTGACTAGCATGCATGAAGCCCTCGGTTTGATTCGTCAGTACTGCATCAACAGAAAAAGCCAGAAGTGGCATTATGTCTCAAGTGGTAGAGTACTAGCCTTGAACAAAAGAAAATCAGGGACAGTGCCCAGGGCCTGAATTCAAACCCCAGTACTGGCAAAAAAAAAAAAAATCAGTTTGTTATATTCCCATGTATCTGACTTTTGTCAAATTCTTCAGCCTACCAGCCTAAAATATACAATATACCAGTAGATGGAGACAAAATGATATTTGATGAAAGTCTGTAAGGCAAATAAAAGAAAAAAAAGTTTATTTAAAAAAATACCTAAAAAGTAAGAATGTATAACATGTGGAACATTTTTATTTGCAGGTTGTGTATGCTAGAAAACATAGAAGTATAAATAAAATTTTTAGGCCAGGTACTGGTGGCTTGCAGCTATTATCCTAGCTACTCAGGAGGCTGAGATCGGAGGTTCACAGTTCAAATCCAGCCAGGGCAGGAAAGTCTGTGAGACTCTTGTCTCTAATTAATTACAGAAAAAGCCGGAAGTGGTGCTGTGGCTCAAGTAGTACAGCCCTACCCTTGATAAAAAGGAGCTCAAGGACAGCACCTAGGTCCAGAGTTCAAGCCTCAGGACCATAAAAAAATTAAATTATGTAGATATCATTTGTGAACAAATCTAATATTTCTGAGTTCTAGAAAATTAATAACAGCCAGGCTCCTATGGCTCATGCCTATCATTCTAGATCCTCAGGAGATCTTGGGTCTGATGACTGTAGTTCAAAGCCAGCTCTATAGACAAAGAAGACACATATATCTATAATGAGCCAATAAAGTGAGGGACTGAAGGTGTGTGGGTCAAATGGTAGAGTGCCAGCCATGAGTGAAAGAGCTGAGCAAAGGGAAAGACCTTGAGTTTAAGCCTCAGTACCAATACACACACACACACACACACACACACACACACACACACACAAATTAATACAGACTTTGTAGAACAATAGAATGTGTCTATATTTAAAGGGTTCAAAGTATTTTCCAGACTTTACATTAGTGATCCAACTGATATTTGTTACTAATATGAGAAAAGTGACTATTATTTCTATTTTATAAATAATGAAGCAGACAAATACACCGGGAGACAGTGAAAGCACAAAATGAAATTTACAACATTAAATGAGAGAATGAATGGAAAATTTTCAACTGTATTTGAGATATGGATATTATTCAGTAAGTGAGTTCCTTTCTTACATAGATAACTATAAAAGACTGGACTGCAAGGACATGGAAGGGTACTGCTACCCTAGGAACATATATATATATATGTATATATATTCTATATTACCTTACATATATATTCCAATGATATCTCCTAAGTTTGTATGTATATAGAAATCAGATACAAATTCATTCTTAGATTAAAAACTTGTTTCATATTTCACTTGAAGGACTGTTATTTCTGTAAACATCATCAACATGTTTCCCATTTTTCTTTACTAATCCATAAATATTAAAAGCTATATATTTAGAGAAGCTGGTGGCATAAAATCTTCCTTTCTTCACCCATTTTATGAAGTTGAATGAGCTCAGAATAAAAGCATCTTTGAAGCAGGGATTGTTTTACCCACTACCAGCCTGTGCATGCTAGTCTCACAACCAGCAATCTCCATCTGAAATTCCAATTTGTTTCCTCTTATGTGAAATACAGTGTTAGTATGACAAAACTTACCCTTTGTTACATGAGAAGGAGATGGATGAACCAAATAATATGTCAGTTTTTATGTTGATAGCACCATTTTGTATTTCTCCAGGATTAGGACATGATCTTTCTAAAAGGTAAAAATAAATTGCTTTCATTAAAATATAAAATATGAAACTATGAGATCCTTTTACAATCATTTTATAATGTATGTGTATATAAAAGCATCACATTACATGCCTTCAATACACACATTCTATTAGTTTATTATATGTAAGTAAAGCTAGAATAAACTTAATTGTGAGACCTATATGTGTGTGTGTGCGTGTGTGTGTGTGTAAATTCATCATCCAAACATTGGTATTTCTAGTTCTTAGACTTCTTTAATTTTACTTTCTTTTCTTGAAAAGTTTAAAACAGCAACCTATTTATGATCTATAGTGAATATAGGTAACCTCAAACTAAGTAAATGTTAAGGTTGTGAGTGGTGAATAAGTATCACAATCACATATGTATTTGGTCTATCCAATTTAACATAAAATGAATTATAGAAGAATCATTCTGAGTAATATAGACACATACAGAGTTCCAGCACAGATGAAGAAAGAGATATTTTCTCCAAACACCAGATGACTTGGAATACTTAAAAAGTATATACTCACTTTGACAAAATTCAGTTGGTTTGCTCCATTCTAAACTCGGAAGGCAAGTTAATTTTTCTGACTTAGTAATATCCTTTCTGTACCCTGGCCGACATTCATATTCCACAATGGACCCAACTGGGAAGTAATTCTGTTTGCTATATTCCTTTTTGAGAAATGCATAATTTAGCCTGGGTGGAATTTTACAGCTACCTATGAGAATTAAAAAATAACAAAAATATGTTATGCATTTGAATGTTTAATTAGCTGATCTTTATTTCACTCCTTTTATGTCTTTATACATACTTAATATTTAAATATCACCATGGCATTTTCAGTATACCCAACACACACACACACACACACACACACACACACATACACACACACACACACTTTCACACACATTCATGTCCTATCTACCATTGTGAAGTAGATTTAATATGTCACTAGCCCCACTTTTCAAAACATGTAATCCAATGAAGTTACCTGGTCACAGTTCTGAGTCTAGTTTTGTGTTGTTGCTGTTGTGTTTTATCAGTCCTGGGCCTTGAACTCAGGACCTGCGTGCTGTCTCTGGGCCTTTTTGCTCAAAGCTACTACTCTACCACTTGAGCTACAGTTCCACTTCCAGCTTTTTGGGGACTTAATTGGAGATACAAGTCATGGGCTTTCCTGCCTGGGCTGGCTTTGAACCACAATCCTCAGATCTTAGCCTCCTGAGTAGCTAGGATTGCAGGCATGAGCCACCAGTGCCCAGCTGGGCACAGTAATGAGACTGAATAAATGTTAGTTTCTGGATGCTATGCTGGGGAATTCCTCAGTACCATTTGGTACAGGGATAGATGAGAATGAGTATTGCCAGATCCTTGGACTCAAGTCCTGAGACAACAATAGTAATTGTAATACTAGTGGCTATTATTTATTGAATACCTCTAACATATATTAACTCATTGACTACCAAAACAACCTCTGAGGGGCAAGGATCAGATAAACGAATTCTGTACATGAACTAAGTACAAACTGTGAACAAGGGACAGATAGAGTATAATGGAATGGTCATGCAAAGGCCCAAAAGTCTCCTGCAGAAATGCTGCTGATACTGAGGAAGTTAGTCACCTTTTGGGGGCCTTTCCCTTAAGTGAAATGCAGAGAAGAGTCTCTGCTTAACTCAAGTAGTTGTTTGGAAGGTTAGATGAAGTAATACCTGCGGGAGAATTATAAACTCTAAATGCCATCCAGGTGCTTTATGCAAGGCTCTCACACTTCAACCTATCACATTCTATCATAGATAGATTTTTAAAAAAGGATTTGTGGCGGTTTCTAAATGTCCTCAAGTTTCCATTGAGTTAAATTGTTCAGAGGCAGGAACAATTTCTATCTCTATTTACATGCATTCAGATACCACGTAATGATGTTTTGGTCCATACTGGGCCACATCTCTACACAACAGTGCTCCTGTAAGTTTATGATGGAGCTTAAACATTCCTATCGCCTAGTGATGCGGTAGTCATAGTAACAGCAGTGTGAGCCTCACCCATGTATCTGCAGCACCACTGCTGGAAATGAGCACAGTATGTCCAATTATAGGAAAGCTCAGCACATCAGTCGTATGCAATCGATAACACTGCGTGTTCTTAAGAACGGACGTTGCCAGTGCCTGTATTGGCTATATTATACTTTAAATTCAACAGTGAGTCAGCTTCAGGCAAGGCCTTTCATGTGTTCCAAAAGACGCACTGTGATCACAGAGGACAGCCCCAGTGCTACAACTCCAAAGGACCTTCCAGTGGGACAATACACAGCAAGGACTATGATGTTCCTACTTATGCTTCCCACGTAGCTAGGATCACAGGTGCACGTGTGCATGCAGGTGCATACGCAAGCACACACGCGCACGCGTGCGCACGCACACACACACGCACACACATACAATACCTAGTTCTGTTTGTTTTTTTAGTTGAGGGTCTTGATTATTTTTATGTCCTGGCCCTCTCAGTGATCTCCAACACCACCACGATAAGCTGTGTATTATTATGGGAGAGTCAAAAAATTGAGATGTTTTTATTAAAAAAATTAAGCTGGACATGATAGCCTATAATCCCAGATGCTTGGGAGGCTAATGCAGGACATCACTTAAGCTCAGAAATATGAGGCCAGTCTGGGCAATATAGTGCTCCAAACAAGGTTAAAAATAGTTTATAAAGTTAAAAAAATAGTTACAGTAAGCTAAGGGTGATTTATTAATGAGGAAAATGTAAATAAATTTAGCATAGTCCAAGTGCACAGTATTTATAAAGTCTACAGATATGGACAGTAATTTCCATTAGTTTACCTGCCATATTCAATACTATCATGTTGTAGAGTTTGTAGCAAAGGAGGAATAAGCTAGACCATGTGGCCCAGGTATGCCATATTACCTAGACCTGTAAGTGCACTCTGTAATGTCCAGATAGCAAGCATGAGTGTATCACAGCAAATACATAATAGATTTTTGAAGGAAAGACATGAGTTTTGGGTGGGGGGAAATGCTACCCAAGACTTATATTTGCTCAGAAGGCTGAGATCTGAGGATTCTAGTTTGAAGCCAACCTGAGTAGGACAGTTCAGGAGACTCTTATCTCCAATGAACTACCAAAAGGCTGTAAGTGAAAGTGTAGCTCAAGTGACCGTGTCAGCCTTGAGCAAAAAAGTTAAAAGGACAGTGCCTAGTGTCTGAGTGCAAGCCCTAGTATGGACGCACACAAAAAATAAAGGGAAAATAAAACCAATACCTTATATTTGTTAAGTCTGACTTTACAAAATGTGATCTAATAAAACACAGCCTATGTATGTCCCTCAAAGCATATGATGATGTATATAAAATATATCATATATGTGTAATATATCCTATATCATATATAACTCATTATATGTAATAACATATGTTATATATGATATATAATAATATATGATACATAATTATTGTTTATTTTCTGTTAGTCTGTTCAGGAGAATATATATATACACATACACACACATATATGTATACATCTATTCATATATAATTTTCTCCTAAATAGTATCTATTGCTTCTTTTCTGTATTAATCGGTTCAGGAGATACAGTCCAGAAGGAAGGTTTAATAAAGCAGCAGTACCTGCTGTGGGAAGCAAGGCCTTCAATTAGCTGACAGGTGTAGTGCCAACACAGGAATTACCCAAGGGTTTAGTGACGCTGGAGAACTATCAATTACCAGTCACACCAAAGAGGTATAAAAATAACCTAACGGGATACACTCCCTTCCGTCACTTTCCCAACAAGAGAGGAACTTACGGTTGCAGAACTCTCCGAGCTCTGACCACTGGTGGCTGGGGAGGCAGACCACGGAATCTGGCTTGCCCGGGATCTTCTCAAAGCCTTCCTTGCATTTGTAGGTGACCGTGTGGCCCTCTGGAAAGCTCTGGAGATCCCCCAGGGTTGGCTGGGCGTTGGGTACCTGGGCGGGGAGGCCGCAGTCACCTGAAGAGGAGAGAGCAGACCCTGCAGGCCACGCAGCCTTGCAGGGAGTGTGGGGGGCGGGTGTCCCGGGGACCTCTGACCTTCCTGCAGGGAACAGGCTCAAAGAAGCTGAGAGGGCTGGGGAGGTGGCTCAGGGGTGCCGGCCTAGCCTGCATGAGGCCCTGGGTTCGAATCCTCAGTACCACAGAAAAAGCCAGAAGTGGCGCTATGGCTCAGGTGGCAGAGCGCTAGCCTTAAGCAGCGCCCAGGCCCCGAGTTCAAGTCCCAGGACTGGAAAACACACAGCAGTGGAGAGTTAAGTCCCTCCCTTTAAAAAGCAGCTCCGACTTTACCGAGTGTCCACGCTGATACTGTTGCTGGCCACGAGATAAGGCGGCCCCGCGTGCGGCGCCGGGTGACACGCCCGCTCACACTCACTCACACGCACAGCTGATCCGCGGGAGGAGGGGGCGACCAGAATCAGCCTGCGTCCTAAAGCCACGGGGGTCCGGGGGGCCCGGGGGGCCGGGGTCCGGGGGGGTCCTGGGG